AAAGTCGGCTGGGCGCGGTGGCTCAAGCCTGTAATCCCAGCACTTTGGGAGGCCGAGGCGGGTGGATCACGAGGTCGAGAGATCGAGACCATCCTGGTCAACATGGTGAAACCCCGCCTCTACTAAAAATACAAAAAATTAGCTGGGCATGGTGGCACGTGCCTGTAATCCCAGCTACTCAGGAGGCTGAGGCAGGAGAATTGCTTGAACCCAGGAGGCGGAGGTTGCGGTGAGCCGAGATCGCGCCATTGCACTCCAGCCTGGGTAACAAGAGCGAAACTCTGTCTTAAAAAAAAAAAAAAAGAAAAGTCAGGGTAATGAGCCCTTTCATGTATCCATTACTGCCTGAGAGAAGAGAAATGCGGAGGGTTTTGTCTGTTAATGAGGGAGCATCCGGCTGCTTGGCTTCCATCCACTTCTCCAGTCACCAGAGCTTCTGCCATGCAAGGCCTGGAGCCTCTTGCAAAGTCCTGCCTGCAATCTCCCAATCTTAGGTCTCTGCCTGGTGGCTCTCTCCCCACAGTGGCCTGGGCTCTGGGCCCTGAAGCCCTCGGGAGATAAGACAGTTATCTCATCTTTCCTCCTAGATAAGCCCCATACTCTCGCTGTGGAAGGATTTTCTTTTTTTGAGATGGAGTCTCACTCTCTTGCCAGGCTGGAGTGCAGTGGCACAATCTCGGCTCATTGCAACCACTGCCTCCTAAATTCAAGCAATTCTCCTGCCTCAGCCTCCCAAGTAGCGGGGACTACAGGTGTGCGCCACCACATCCAGCTAATTTTTGTATTTTTAGTAGAGATGGGGTTTCACCATGTTGGCCAGGATGGTCTCGATCTCTTGTCCTCATGATCCACCTGCCTCTGCCTCCCAAAGTGCTGGGATTACAGGTGTGAGCCACCGTGCCTGGCCTTCTACTGAAGGATTTTTGCATCTGCTGTTAGATCCAAGAGACAGGACCCAATTCACCAAATCTGGTGATTTCCACCATGCTTTCTGAGTTAAAATGTCAGGGGACCTTTGTTACTGTATGCTTGTCATTCTCAGTGCGGTCCCTGGACCAGCATCATGAGTGCTATCAGAGCCCTAGCTGGAAATGCAAATTTCCAGCTCTCACTCTGGACCTACCAAATCAGGAGCTTTGGGAGTGGGGTCCAGCACTTTGTCAGTTACCCAGTCCCCTGGGGATTTCAGCACAGTAGAGCCACTAGACATACCAGGAAAATAATCACCAGAGGCCCGCACCTTGCTTCTGATCAGAATTGCTGGCCCCAGATCACCCTTTGTCCTCTCTGACAACTCACTGGGCAGGTGCAGCTGAAATGTTTTTCCCTCCCTGCTCTCATGATTCAGGGTAAAGCTCTCTCCTCCTGGCCAGGGAACGTCCTCTTCCCAGGAAGCGGATTACGAGTCGCAGAAGGAAAACATGACTGTGCACAGTGTGGGCCAGAGCACATTCGTGACCTCCTCGGTGCTCATTTCTGCTCTTAATGTCCTAAGGAATTCCTTTGGGAAACTGTGTCCTATTTCACCAGCCTCCTTCCTTCAGTGGTATTTAAACCCAAGTACAGGTTAGCAGACAGAAGTGCCGGCAGGACCCAGCCTTCCACATCCACCCACAAGTGCAGCCTCCTCACGCTCCCCCTCAACAGAGCTCCGCCGGCCTGTGACGAGCCACCTGGGCACGGCACACCTGTGAAGTCGGCAGTCACACACAGAGCCTGAAACCCAATCTTCGGGTTTGAAGGATGCTGACTTCCTCCCATAATCCTTTTTCCTTCCCTCATCTAACCCCCATCCAGCTGATGATACTATCTACAGTTCATAGGTAGGGAGCTCTGAAGCATTCAAGAGGTTAGAAATAAACCACTCAAGATTTTCTGCTGTTCAATTTACCCTGAAATACGTATAAATTACATGAACTTGTTCTGACAAGAAGGGGAATGTTGGCATACTCTGGGACCTGCCCCCAATGTTTGATTGTCTGGAAAATACCAGCATGGGCTACTTAGGTTATGTGGGTACAACTGTATTAAAAATGTGTGTGTGCGTGCACATGTGTATGTGTGAGGAGTATCTCACGAAATAATGGATAACTCACAAAATGTTGGGGCCCAGCAGCTGGCTGATGTTTATCATTGATACAGTTTTGCAGTTGAGCAGTGATGACAGTTTTGGCTGGCATTCAGGGAGTGCTTACTCGGGCAAAGGAATTTACAGGCATTACTTCACCTAATCTCCTCAAGACTTCTGTGAGAGATGTTCTCACTTCTCAGTTTTACAGATGGCGAGACTGTGTAACTGGCCCGTGGGTTTGCATGTAGCTAGGGGTGAAGTGGGGACCTGAGGCCAGGCTCTCGATGCCCACGACGTGAAGCTGCTCCTGGGTGAAATGGACGGAGCGATGCATTCTTTTTCTAGCTAGCTACGGAACCTAACCAATCATGTGTCTTGCTGCGCTACATGATAAGTACACGATGATCTTGCTAGTGCTACCAACTTTAAACAAATCCATTTCTATAAAGGCTGTTGTAAAGGATGAGCAGGCAAAGGAAGGATTTAAAACACATCTGTGGAAACTGCTGCTGAGAGTGGAACGAGCAGGACTAGAGGGAGAAGTCAAGGTTGCGTCAAGGCGGGCTAAGGGTAGGACACAGCATGGGCAAAGTCAACCACAGGCTGTACCTAGAGAGGGCAAACGATTTAACCAGAAGACAATCTGACACACACCAGGGTCCCAGATCCATCTGTGACTTCTACCCCTTCATCAATGGAGCATCCGTCCAGGCCAGACGTCTGCCCCCAATGGGTAAACGCTAATGCCACTGGAAAAGAATCTAGTTTTCGACATAATGCTGCTAACCACAGAGAGGAGGAATTCTGGAACGACTGAGGCACATTTCCTCCACCAGTATCGAACAATCCATTTCTCTCTCCAAATGACTTATTAAAACCTGCTAATAAGTTCTAGGCACTGCCGGGCCCCTGGAGGCTGAGTTGCACATCCAATGATTTCCATGTTTGTACAGTACTCCGCTTGGTTCTGCAAATAAGTCCCGGACAAACACCTGTGGAGTGAACTGAACACTGACGAGGTCCTTGCCCTGATGGGGAAGAGCGACAGGAGAAAGAAGGAGAGGACTCAAGAAATAAACAGAGTCTCCCAGACCATACAGGAACGACGGAGGTGTCCTGTCTATATGCAGCACTTGGCACAGGTAGATGCATTATTTGGCCACAGAGGACAGCATGGAGGTTTTGGAAGCTGTGGGTTTGATTCCTAAATGGGTAGATTTAGCTCCTTACACAGAAAATCTCAGGCCTGGGCCACAGACACACCTCTCCTTCTCCACTGCCTGGTAACTTGCATCACTGGTCACTTGGGGTCTGAATAAGAGTCCCTCGCAGCCCCTTCAAGCTTAAGGTCAACTAGCCACAGGTAGGAAGTGTGGTTGGCTTGAGGCCCAGGATGGCACCCGTCAGCACCTCTCACTGCCTCGACCTCAAATCTCCCCAGGTCTCCTGGGAAACCACCTTCACATTAAACTCCTTATGTTAGATATGTCCTGAGTTTTAATTTCTTTTATAGTGTGGCTGCAGATAGCCCTAAGAACAAGCCAGAAAACCAACCAACTATGGCATTCTGAGAAATTGCTCTAGTGTTTAATTGCACAGCCTCGGGCCTTCGGGATGTGAGTTTCACTGCTGGGGAAAGGAGCCACATCAGCTTCCCCTTGATATCACTCCACGTTAAATGCCACTCCGGCACTGTCTGATGACTCTCTTGCCCCCCTTTTGAGTATCTATCTAGAGCTGCCTTGGTCAAAAAGTTTCTTTTGCATGCCATGGCAGAAGCAGGTTGTACTGTTTTTAAAATGAGAATGAGGAAGCAGAAAGCATGCAAGATTTAAAGGAGGAAAACATTGTTTTGCATTTTACTTGTTACCAGAATGAGCCAGGAAAGCTATTTAATGCCTAAGCGTCTCAAAGTCTTCACCTGTAAAATGAGGTGAGTACGCCGACTTTCCACAGGGCCTGTGGGGCCCTAACCCATGAGACAGCCAGCGGGCATGTGCTCCTTCCTCTGCTTCCTGCTGGTGAGCCCAAGGGAACTGGCCCGTTCCCAACGAGCTTTGCGTTTCTGCTGCTTCCATACTTTACATCTTAGCACAAATACAATTTCTGAGTTTTAAAATTCTCTCCTTTTACAATAAAATCATTTTCAAGTATTGTTTTGAAAGAAAAAAGGGTTCTTGAAATTACGGGCCCAAACTAAGCTCCCAACAGGAAGCAGAAGGCCCAGGGAGCAGGGCTGGAGCAGCAGCTGACGATCCGCGGCACCCATTTGTTTTCCCCAAGCCATCACACCTGATTAGATTACATTCCCGGTACTGCAGAGTCTCTCGGTACAGTCTTGAGGTTAACATAACCAGGATAAGTCTGGCTTTGGTAACAGGTTGTACCACACCCAGTCATGAAGAGTTTGGAAAAAAAACTCTCATGCTTTGAGAATTACACAGTTGCTGATGTTGGAAGTTCCCATCCAAGAGTAACATTCCGGCTGGGCTGGCTTTTCCCAGTACATAGGGATTTTCCAGTACAGTAGCCCTCTTGCTAACAGACTTGCCCACTCTCATTCTAGCCGAGAGCAGCATGGGTTGGACAGTCTTCATTTCTCAGTCTTGGCTGGATCATGACCTCAGCCTGTCTCTCTAGAGGACTTAACAGCTTCTGCCTGTCCCATGTCGTCTTCCTCCTTCTGGTGAGAACATCTCAGTTTTCCTTACCATGCTCCCATTTGTTGGCCAGCGGGAGAGCATGTGAGCTGAGCAAGACTGATCAGACTTTGCAGGAACCTGGGCTCTGGGCAGAGTGAGCTTTGGAGTGGATGCAGGAGCCACTCCAGCCAGCTCCGGGATCTTCTCTCCCAGACCAACTTTCCAGCGTCTTTTCAATGTTGGGAGCTACTCCCCATTCCTTCTGTGTTCTTATTTTTTTGGTACAGGTTCAGATCCGGTTTCTGTGGCCCAGGAACACCGTACTGTGCTATAGAAGCCGATGGTGCCAGGATCACTTCCTCCCATTTCCACGCCACAGCCATGGCTTCGGAGCAGATTGTGAGACTGCTGGGGACAGGAGTTTTCTTGGCAGTGATGCCATCAGCTTACTGGATGGTCTTCTTACCTCCCACTATACACGAGCATCTACCCAGTGGAAGAAAGAGGTTGGCTGTGTTTACTTTTCTAGTGGAGGTACAGGGTTCCCCAAGCTCTTGGGAGCCCACAGTGTCTTGACCTTGCTGCTGGGAGCACCCCTCTCTGCAGAAGCTCCAGGAAGGGTGGATTCCAAGATTAAAATTCTCCTGGGAAGAAGCACAAGCCTGGCATTCTCAAAGGGGTTCACAGCACAGCGCGGCACATCAAAAGCGCGTCTGTCGGGACTACACAGCACTGAGACCTGTGGGGTGTCAGAACCAGCACCTCCCTACCTGACATGCCCACAGAATCTCCTTTCCCTGTCATCTTGGCACAGGCTGCGCTGTGGGAGGCGAGGCTGTGACCGTGGTCACTGTATACGGGGCAGAGGCCCAGCTGGCCAGCAAGGAGGTTGCGGGGCGGGCAGTCTGCAGCCTGGAGAGCGCCTGCCACTTGCAGGCTGGATGCCTGGCCTCACCTGAAGAGCACCGTGAGCCCCTGCAGACAGGGGACGCCACTGCTGGGCTGGGGATGACGGACCCCCATGTGTACCAGGATGTATCACAACTGCTGTTTGTGGCCCTGGCCAACATGCGGCCCGAGACGGCTCACTTGCAAACTCTTTTCCTTTGACACTTGAGCCACTAAGACCCTCTTGGAAAATGTCCCAAACAGAACAGGGGAAAGGGCCACCAGCGGCTTCAGATGTCTCCATCCTGCTCCCTCATGTGCCCGACACCTGCTGTTCTCCTTATTCCTCTGGCATCAAAACCTCTCCTGGAAAAGGACTTGATAAACTCATTTCCACTTAAGAAAAAGTTAAACGGGTTCAGTCTCTTCCCTCCCAGTGCAATGTCCTTAGCTCACTGATAAATCCTTCATTCCATTCTTCCCTTAACAACTCCCTTTGCGTAAACATGCAGGCACACAGAGCTGGAAGCTATCTTCCTTGGAAAAGGAGAAGCTGCCCGTCTTGCAGCAGATGCCCCATCACCCTGGGGACCTAAGATTAGTGTCATTCTCCATGGGGAAAACTCAGGCACTTGGAACATTTGTAAAAAGGCAACCCTTAGGTACTCAGGGCGCTCAGCTTTCAAAAGCGCAACAACTTTGAACAAATGCCAGGCATACAGGTTCCCAGCAACACTCTAGATGGTTAGAAGTGACCCAGGTTTCACAGGCAGCCCTGTATGTTTATGAATCCAGCCTATGTGAGGTCTTTCTAGAAGGGCTTAAATGGTTTCTTAGGGAGGAACAGATGCAAAATGTGATCATAAGAGATGTGCTTATTTTAAAAAAATGAATATGAATTCTGGAGTATGTCCAGAGTCCATATATTACCTAGGAAAGATTTATCCTGTGTGTGTGTAAGGGATCCTGGTCATGACTTTGGCTATGTTCTTATTTTCACTGTCTTACCAGCGGATAATGTTTGCTCATTCTTACCGGGTGTTTCTGTTTTGGGGTTTGAGGCAGAGGAGCAGGCGATGAAGAGAAAAGGAGGATGGGACTATTTTCCGGGTAGGATTTCGCTGAGTGGGGTGAGCAGATCTAGGCACTGACCCTTAGGCGTGCCGAGCCTGGGGCAAGCTGGGGCCACCAGGAGGACAGGTGGGTCTGCAAGGTTCCCGAGGGAACCCTAGAAACTGGCCTCCCTGGCCGGGCGCGGTGGCTCACGCCTGTAATCTCAGCTTTGGGAGCCTGAGGTGGGTGGATCATGAGGTCAACAGATCGAGACCATCCTGGTCAACATGGTGAAACCCCGCCTCTACTAAAAATACAAAACATTAGCTGGGCATGGTGGCGCGTGCCTGTAATCCCAGCTACTCAGGAGGCTGAGGCAGGAGAATTGCCTGAACCCAGGAGGCGGAGGTTGCGGTGAGCCGAGATCGCACCATTGCACTCCAGCCTGGGTAACAAGAGCGAAACTCCGTCTCAAAAAAAAAGAAAAGAAAAGAAAAGAAAAGAAACTGGTCTCCCTTTCCCTTTCCCATTTGCAGCGCTCTTTTTCACCCTGTCCAGTGCTAAGGCAGGTGGGGTCGGGCTGATACTAAGCAATGCCAAGTCCTGCAGGAACCTGGTAGCATGCGGCGTACGTATGAAAAGGAAATGACCCAGTTAACAAAGAGACGACTCACCAGGTTACTAAAGTAACATGCAGAGAGCACCGTTATTCTCTGCATGTTGTGGGTGCACAAGCTGCTGCTCAGAGACACAGAAGGTCCCACCCAGGCCCCCCTGCAAGTGACAAGCAGAGAGAACAAGGGGAAAGAAAACCCCTGACTCCCAGTTCCAAACCCAACGAGCCTAAGGGGGTGTCTCCAATGTGATGCTCAGGATGGCTTTTCTATGAGGTTACAAAGATGGTGGCTGCAGTGAAGATACGTGTGCATGTGTCTTGATAGTAGAACGACTTATAATCCTTTAGGTATGTACCCAATAATGACATTGCTGGGTCAAATGGCATTTCATCACCTCCACTCATCTCAAAATACGATTTAGTTTCTCTCGTGATTTCTATTTGGCCCACTGGTTGTTGAGGAACGGTACTGTTTAATTTCCACATCCTTAGGATGTTTCTTAAATGTCTTTCTCTTACTTATTTCTTTTTTTTTTTTTTTTTTTTTGAGACGGAGTTTCACTCTTGTTACCCAGGCTGGAGTGCAATGGCGCGATCTCGGCTCACCGCAACCTCCGCCTCCTGGGTTCAGGCAATTCTCCTGCCTCAGCCTCCTGAGTAGCTGGGATTACAGGCACGCGCCACCATGCCCAGCTAATTTTTTGCATTTTTAGTAGAGACGGGGTTTCACCATGTTGACCAGGATGGTCTCGATCTCCTGACCTCGTGATCCACCCGCCTCGGCCTCCCAAAGTGCTGGGATTACAGGCGTGAGCCACCGCGCCCGGCTCTCTTACTTATTTCTAATTTCATTCCATGGTGGCCAGAGAACATACCTCGTAGAAAACAATTTCTATTGTTTTGTGCTTGTTAGGTTTATATACTGGCCTAGCATGTGATCCATTCTGAATAATGTTCCATGTGCAAATTCTGCTGTTATTAGGTGGAGTGTTTTATAGATATCTATTGGGTTTTGTTAGTTTATAGCGTTAAGTCTTCTGTTTACTTCTGATATAACTTATTTTTAAAATCCGTTATTGAAAGTGAGGTGTTGAGGTCTCTGGTTATTATTGTCGACTCATGTATTTATTCCTTCATTTCTGTCAGTTTTGCTCCATATATTTTAGGAGGTTATATTTATAATTTTTACATCTTCCTGATGGATTGCCCTTTCATCACTATAAAATGTCTGTATTCTAATAACATGTTTTTTAAAAAAATCTATTTTGTCTGGTATTAGTATAACACTCCTGCTTTCTGTCTGCATGATATAACTTTTTCCATCTTTTTACTTTCAACGTATTTGTATATAAATATACACTAAGAAGGAGAAAATAATTCTTCTTTGTCTGTGAACTGTTCATTGCTGTAAGAGAGCCAGCCGGCGGAGGACTTCGCCAAGACTGGCCTTCATTAGATCCTAAGGGGAAAGAAGTGTTTTGAGAAGCAGCCACCACGTACATCCAAAGCTCATTTCTGAAGTATCCCAGCAATTCCCCAAGTTAGGAATCCTTCTACTGTTTCCCTCACTACATAGCCATGTCGTCTATGGTCTAATGTTTTTTCTAGAACCTGGAGAGCACACAGCTTCCCTTCATTTCTGATAGATCAGTTTGTGATCTTTTTTGGGGGATGGGTTGTTGGTGTTCTTTAGGTATTCCTCAGACTAAATCTCACCATTTCCCTTTACTTTTCCTTTCTTGTAATTGTAACATAAGAAGTCAAATGGAGACAAGAGATGCTGGAGAGGATGTGAAGAAATAGCAATGCTTTTATACTGTTGGTGGGAGTGTAAATTGGTTCAGCCATTGTGGAAGACAGTGTGGCGATTCCTCAAGGATCTAGAACTAGAAACACCATTCGACCCAGCAATCCCATTACTGGGTATATACAGAAAGAATTATAAATCATTCTATTATTAAGACACATGCACATGCAAGTTTACTGCAGCACTGTTCACAATAGCAAAGACTTGGAACCAACCCAAATGCCCATCAATGACAGGCTGGATAAAGAAAATGTGGCACATATACACCATGGAATACTATGCAGCCATAAAAAAAGGATGAGTTCATGTCCTTTGCAGGGACATGGATGAAGCTGGAAACCATCATTCTCAGCAAACTGACACAAGAACAGAAAACCAAACACGACGTGTTCTCACTTATAAATGGGAGTTGAACAATGACAACACATGGACATAGGGAGGGGAACATCACACACTGGGGCTGTCGGTGGGTGGGCAGGTAGGGGATAGCATTAGGAGAAATACCTAATGTAGGTAACGGGATGACGGATGCAGCCAACCACCACGGCACATGTATACCTATGTAACAAAGTAACAAACCTGCACGCTCTGCACGTGTACCCCAGAACTTAAAGTACAATTTAAAAAAAAAGGAAAAAAAAAAAGGAAACTTCATGTGCTTGATGGTCTTTCAATTTCATTACTCAGAAAAGTCAGGAATAGAGGAGGATCTCTTTTGATGGGCTGCAGAGCCTACATGCAAAGCATCTCCCAACATGAGAATTCCTACCTGTGAACCTGGTGGCATTGATCAAACGAAGGGATGTTAAAATGACCAAAAAAAAAAAAAAAAAAAAGCTTTCCTTTCCTCCATCTTGGATGTTTCTTAATTTAGATAAACAAGGTAAGGCTTCAAAACTTACCATTTAATTTAAATGCAGGTGACACCCTGAAATTTTGTCAGAAAAAATTCCAGCACTTTGACAATGTAAATTTCTCCTCCCCACTCACATACCATCAGCAAGGCATGTAACAGACCACAGGTACTAGTCACAGTTAGATTTAACTATTTTATTTTGGAAAAAGACAGGAAAGAAAATGCTTATGTTTCAGACTAGCAGGAAACTGATTTAAAAACTATCTTTTCAGATTGTGGCTGTAGCTAAAGATCCACCTATTCCAGACTTCATTCTTAAGTCATGATCTCTCTCTCTCTCATACATGCACGCGTGCGCACACGCACACACACGGAACGTGCTTTAATAAAAAAGAATGGATTCCATTCCATTTTAACCCAAAACAAGGCCAGACTGATTACGATAATTGAGGAAAGAGGACAAATTTAAAAACCAAATACACTTCCTTGCAAATGACTATTCAGTTCATTTGCCAGTAAGATGCTGAATGTTCTTTTCTGAATCACTCTAATTCAATGTGCAGTACAGCATGTACTTGCCTGGGAAGAAGTTCAAATCATAAATACCATGGGGAAATATCTAATAACTTGGAATGGCCTTTTTCAAGTGGCTAATAAGCTCTTAAAGACTGCAAAAAATGTTAAATCTGCTGAAGCGCAGGCTCTGGGACGCGCCCACTTCATAGCCAGCCCCTGCCTCCACGCTCCAGGACTATCTGGGGCTGGGTCTCAAGGGTCTCGGCCCACAGAACTGCTCTTCGGATGCTGAATGATGGAGAGGCCTCTTCCCTGCAGACTCTGGTCAGCAAGGTGAAGGCTGCTGGCCATGGACCTAACAGCTGAGCTGATCTGTGATTTCTGCCTCGCCTGCCAATGTCAGGGCCAGGTTTGTCGATGTGTTTGTGTTGGTGTGTGAAATGCTGGGCAGAGGCCATCTGCCCTGCGTGCCAGACTCCAGATTCCATATGGTTACAGGAGGGTTTGGGAGAAGTATCCACAGAGCTAGGATTAGAATAAAGAGGTGCTAATGGTGTGCAGTTGGGAAGGCAAAGGAAACTGTCATGAACTCAATGGAAACAGGGCTGAAGAAAGTTAAAGGGAGATCAGGAGAAATAAAGAAAAGTATCAAGAAAAAAGACAAATATCTCTGCCATTTTCAAGGTCAAAGAGTAACAATAACACAGAAAGGTTCTTTCACCTTGCCAGGTTCAACAACGGGTTGCATTCTGGCTTCTTTAATAAAGTTCACACCATGGGACTCCTGGGCTCTTCTTCCAGGTGACAGGCTCTCTCCTCCACTCATGTCACCCCGTCTGAAACAGCCATCTGTAATCCAGACCCTACACACCTCCACCTCACCCCTCACCCAAGTGCAGTTTTTACTTGTGTGCCCGATCTCCTATTTTCTGCCACTCGTATCCTAAGGTCCGGCTTTCTCCTTTTCTTCACTTACTAGACAGAATCCATGAAACCACAGGTTCTGTGAAAGACTCATGACAACTAGATCATGCTATGCAATAATTCACATTTTATCGTCCAGATACGTGTATGTATAACA